TTATTATTATTATTATTATTATAATACTAGGGTAGGTTTAAGGTGAGAACAAACTGCTTTTGAATACAAAAAGGGGATTTGAGTTTCAGTATGGCTTAGGCTTAAATAAACCTTAGTATACACCCTTTTACACTTTTATACAACACCACAAAAGCCGAGTTTAGATCAATCTCATGGCCCGTTTCAATTATATGTTTAGCAATTGAGGATGATGGATGCTCATACTCTGCTCTTGTTGGGTCACTTGATTGTATTTGTTTCTGCAACCATTTTGGTACATGTTCACACACTAATTTTCAGACCACGATTGCTCCTCCCTATGTATGTGTGACCACAAACACTTAAATTGGTAAACACAGTGGGATGTGATACAATCGTTTTCATGTCTCTTAGGTTTTGGATGAAGCATGCACCTTGTTTTTTCTCTGAGAATGACCTTTGCTGCGCAATACGCTTTGTTGATGACTGATTTAAACCTTTGTTTCAGTAAAAGGCTATTTGAATAACCTCTGAATGGTAAGGTGATATAGATAGGCTTTTTCTCTACCAAGACTGCAGTAGGTCTCACTATGCCATGGAAAGAAATGAGGACATGTACTGCTTATTGAATAAATTTAACACTCTCCAAAGCCATATCACATAGTTCTGATAATCTTCGTCTTATTACATTATAAAATTTATCAAACGGACTAATTCATTAAAACTCAAAGAACTCTAGATAGCTCTCAACAACAGGTTCCAAGTCTTACAGGATCTACTCAAAGAAGAAGAGGAAAATACTATGGAGAACAACTGGAAAGGGATCAAAGTACCGCCAACTTCAAAGTGTCAGGAAGTGCTGCACCACAACAAGCAGTATCATGACGAATGGATCTCTATGGAACTCCTGTCTTGGATTCAAGAAAAGAAGAACAAAAACAATGCAATTAACAACAGTCGAAGAAGAACGGAGATGGTCAGGGCACAAGCTGAATAAACAGAAGCAAAAAAACAAGTGAAGAGGAGCATTAGAGTCGACAGGAAGAAATACATGGAACACCTAACAACGACGGTGGAAAAAGCTGTAACACAAGCAAATATCAGAAAACCGTATGGCGCAACCAAGAAACAAGCAGGGAAATAGAGTAAACCAGAGAGACCGATTAAGGACAAACAAGACAAGGCAGGAACAGATGGGTAGAACACGTTGACGAACTCTTGAATAGAACAGCTCCAATGAACACAACGGACATCGAGGCAACACATACACACATTCCTACAACTGTCACTCCACCGACGATCGAAGAAATCAGGATGATCGGTCATCAAACAAATCAACTGTGGGAAAACATCAACAGCAGTAGAAGCAATCGAACCTGGCAATTTACCAACTGAATCATTCAAGTCACACGTCGGAGTAACCACAAACATGTTCCATGTTCCATTCAGGAGGATTTGGGAGGAGGAACAAGTGACGACATACTGATAGACACAGACAGACACCGGAAAGAAGGATATCTCATCAGGATACCAAGGAAAGGAGATCTCAGCAAGGGTGAGAACTGCACAGGCATCACACTAGTATCGGTACCAAGAAACGTTTTCAACAGTGTTGCCGAACCAGATGAAAGATTCAGTAAACGACCAGCTTCGAGATCAATAGACCGGATTCCGTGTGGATAGGTAGTGCACAGATATTACGGATCATCGCTGAACAATCAATTGAATGGAACTCGTCACTATACACCAACTTCATTGATTATGAGAAATCATTCGAGGGTGGATAAGAAAACCTTATGGAACCTTCTTCCACACTATAATGTACCAGGGAAAATCATCAACACCATACGGAATTAATACGATGGACTACACTGCAAAGTCGTGTATGGAGGACAGCTCACAAACCAATTACAAGTCAGGACCGGAGTCAAACAAGGCTGCTTACTTCCTCCCTTTCTCTTTCCTCTGATGGTTGACTGGATTATGAAGACCTCGACATCTCAGAGGAAGCACGGAACACAGTGGACAGCTCACATGCAACTAGACGATTCGAAATTCGCAAATGACATGGTTCTTCTATCCCACACACACACACACACACACTAACAAATGCAGGTGAGTACAGTCAGTGTGACAGCAGCCTCTACGTCAGTAGACCTCAACATACACAAGGGAAAAATCAAGATCGCCAAATACAACACGGAGAATACCAACCAAATCACAATTCATGGAGAGACTCTGGAAGAGGTGGAAGCTTTCGCTTATCTGGGCAGTATCGTCGATAAACAAGGAGGATCTGATGCCGACGTAAAGGTAAGGATTGGCAAAGCAGGGACAGCATTCCTACAGTTGAGGGACATATGGGAATCAAAACAACTGTCAACCAATATCAAAATGAGAATCTTTAATACGAACGTCAACACAATTCTACTATATGCAGCTGAAACATGGAGAACTACTACAACCATCAATATAAAAAGGGAACATGTATTCACTCAATATTCAATATCTTTTGACCGGATACCATCAGATGAAGAGGAAATTAGTAAAAGATGCTGAAGGTGGATGGGACATACATTGTGGGAGTCATCAAACTCCATTACGAGGCAGGCTCTGACTTGGAATCCCGAAGGGAAACGGAAAAAAGGAATTTTGAGGAACACTGTGCCGGGAATGAGACAGACATCAAAGTGATGATCAGCAAATGGAAAGAATTGTCCTTAAATGCCCGATGTCGTGGAAACTTTGGTCTGACCATCGTCAGTCGGTTAGGTCCTCACGTTTAAGAATAATCTTCTTCAATGTGTAGTGAGGTTCCTAAACAATACTAGTAAGCAGACTAGGTATGACGTACCTGTTGAATTCACGTAGTACTGCTTTCATTACTGTGAGGAATTGTGTACATGATCCTGTAACTCCGCGTCGTGGAAATCGGCTTCTGAGTGGAAGCAATAGTAGTAGTAGTATAGCACCTACCGTGCAATTAAGTTTGTTTAGGGTTAGTTTTGTTGGTCCATTTTGTTAGTTGTGTAAAAGACAGTCCTATTCGAATGTAAAAGCCATGACACTTATTTCTCTCTCTAACTTAAATGATTCCCGCTCAAATATAGCTCGATGTATCACTCGCATTCCCATATATATATATCGATGAATGACGTCTAAGAAGTTATTTGGAAGTCAAACCACTACAGCAGAACAAGGCTTCGATGTTATCGGGCTGGAATGGCATGAGTTGAAATGTGGGAGTTTAAAGATTCTGAATCATAAATAGCTTAGCCGTCTGTTCCGTCATGATGAAGATAAAATATAGAAATATGTGAGGAAAAATATCCGAAAATATAAAAACAGCATTACAATATGTAAAAATAAAAGTTAAAAAGTAATATATAATGTTAAGACAAGGAACAGAATCACACTTTACTGTTTGGTGCGCTAGACCACGTCGGTATCACTACTAAAGATCCCACAGGTATTCAGAGTTTAACAATACCTCTATACGGAACACATTTATTTTCGCAGTATACCAACAAAGTCAAATCAGAAGTCAGAAATGAAGGGGTTCGAAGACATATTTCAAAAGTTATCGATATGTCGAGGAGCGTTCGGTTTAAGCTGGCTGATAGTTGTAAGGGATGAATAGCACGATGTATCCACTCGGTATCTGGTGTGCATGCGTGACCAAGTGCCTTCAGCTAAGTGTCTCCACTAAAATAGTGAGATAGCATCAATGCCGAGGACTTACAGAACTATTTATTTTATGGATATATTTACCGCTACAATTTTCTGAAAATTAAACTTGACTGGTCATTTTGTCGACAATAAACTGAGACATCCTGGGACTCAATCGTGTTGTTTGTGTAATGTCTTCAAGATACATGACCAGGAATTTTCATTAAGATATTGATTAAATAAATATTTCCAAGGATGTCTTGATGTATCAAAAGATTCAGCAAACGTAAATTTTTAGGTTTGTCGCTTTTCTTGTGCAAACTTTATTTTCAATATAAATCATATTTCCCAACATCAGGATTTATCGGTCAACAATCTAAACGCGTTTATTTATTTTGAACTGATTAAAATGGTATGTCAGTTTATTCACAAATAAGCACGTCTTCAAAAAAATTGTCGGTGATCCAATGTGTCAGTTTACTTGAATTAGTCTGTCCGATTGCTCCCAGAAAGTCATATCAATTAAATTTCTATAAAACGCGAATTTACGTGAATGATTTTGACTTTTAAAGAGTAACTATGATACCTGATAATATCACATCCTTATGGGGTTTAATATAGCCACGTTAAATTAACATAACTGTATTCATTTTGAAATATTGTTGTCAAACGCACTAGCTCAACTCGATTAGTTTACGTGTGCTTATTTCAAATGCCTTATTTCCGAATTTTACCAATATTCCTGTCTGGTTCCCTTTAAGTATTTGTCAATCATATCCCATAACTATATTGGCATATCAATACTTGGGACATGCTAGTAAATTGATCATGAGCAGTTTGTATTCATTGCAATATAATGCAGATTAGACCTGTCTATTGTGGCCTTACATTTATTTCCCTAAGATACAACTGGTGAATATTTTATTGCCAGTGCCAATATAAATCCAAATCAATCACAAAGAGGCATAATTCTGGTGTTAATTCAATACGATTATTACTGCAGTCCAGTTGTATCCATTCAATCCAATTACACTTGATTCATCACCAATATATGCTATGGAATCTAATGATATATATATATATATATATATATATATATATATATATATATATATATATATATATATATATATTAAAGGACATTTGTATTCCAGTTCTGAATTAATTCATTTTCTTCGGTTATCGATTATACGGATGACGAATATAGCAATTATTCACTTGTTCAAGATAGCTAAATGTGATAATTAGGAGTATTTGAATTATAGTACAGACTAAGAATCCCAGACATAACGCTATTGGATCAAGAAGTACTAGATATCCACAAACGAATGTACTGTATTTGGAATTAGAAATCAAGCATTCAACAAGTACAAATGAATCGTTAGTTCATACAAACACCACACTAAATCAGCTGCTAATTGCGAAAATATTATTTAGTAAGTTTATAAGGCTATGGACTATTGAGATTAAAGAAAGCGTGTGAATGGTGAATAAAGTTCTGATGTATTATTCAAGATTCTAATCACAATTTCTAGAAAACGTCAATCAGAACTGCCAGGCTATTAATGTTATTACACAGAATCGATGAACAAGAATCAAAATTCATATATAGCCTTCTCAATGACACTTAAGAATTATAAGAGTAAAGTGAAGAACTATTCATTACACTATGATCATCTTGAATCTATTCATCTGTTAATTACATAAGTAACGCAAACATACTGTTCTAGTCGAACTGTTAGTACATAAGTATTTATTTTCCTACAACGTTTATTCAATCGGCTAGTGGGAATTATTTGGTTGGAATCTATGGAAAGTTCCCTGAGAACACAGTTCGGCCCATTCCTTCTATCTAATATTTGTATTCATTGATTTAAGCTGTCACAACAAAACCATTACTTGAGATAAGAAAGCTTGATCCTAGTACAAATAAGCTAAGAAAACTTAAAAGTATTTTTGACTATCGTGCATTCATTTAAATACAAGAATGTTTTGTGGATGATTTTCTCACCCAAAATTATGGCCCTGAGAATTTATATTCAATATAGCATGCTCGATATAATTGACTTCGGATCGCCCATCGCCAGGAAGTATATTATTTCGTCCAAAGATTAGATATGTAGATGTGTTGATCTGTCAATTATTTATTCTTGAGAAAATCTCCACCGATATAGAGACGTATGATCTGTATGTATTTACATCTTTGAATTACTCTTATGTTAGGTAAACACCACATCAGTCATAATTTCTGCTTGAGATTCATATCATGTTATACTTGGTGAAAATAGTAAGGCTCTAAACGCAGTGACAGTGAAAACTGACTTTTTCGATCACTTATCTTTGTTGTGTTATTCTTCTTGAGAATCCATCATTCCGATCCATATAAACCAGTTCTGATGTAGTGTTTCTTTAAAAAAATGTCTATTGTGATTAAGGCTATACAGCTTTTTGGCATAAAATACCTTAGACAATAGGATTCAATATATCAGTTCAATTGACATAAATTAGGCCGTGTTTACGTAGGCAATTGTTGAGACCATAACGCAACTTTGAAGATGGTTACATCATTTTAGTAGTGACCGTACCAGGCTTTCGTGTTTGTACGAAATTGATATTATCAATGCCATTCTCAATCATTTATTCATTCAAGTTCTTTACTTGTTTCGTATTGTACCGTTCGGTGCTAAGATGTTAAAGACACAATCGGAAGTACGGCCAATGCTAATATTACGATAATAGAACGTCATCTAACTCAATGCTTCAATGTACTTAAGACACCATTATGATAATAGCACATCTCTACCACACTTGCCAGCGGTTTTCAAGTTAATTTGCAGATCGTTTTGTTACCTAAACTGTTAATTCTGAAGAAACACAACTAGTTTTCGGAGACTACATTATATCTAGTTAACAATCTGAACAATAGAACCACATCAACGGTGAAACAAACTTGAATAACACCATCAACATAAATAACTCCATTGAAACAAGAAAAAATACAACCAAGCTCCTTTCATTTAGTTAGATAAAAAAGTATTCCAAATTGGTCAGTCCTAGTTCAATTTCTATATTTAGCAACATGGTTGATAACTTCTCCAGTTCGTACCTTTCATAATAAAATCGACTAGTAACAATTTTCCCCTCCAGAATGCACAAAAAAATGTTAGTATATCAAATGACCAGAAGAAATTAATTCTTAATCAAGACAAAAATGAAAAATCTAACTGGTTATGTACATTTACAAAGAGAAAACGTCACGTCCATTTAGTCAAAAGAACTTGAAAAAGTGAATAAACACTAGTTATTAGAAGTTCCTGTGAATTTATTAACTAGAAAAAAATTATTTTACGCTTCGGAAAATGAGGTATGATGGAAAAGTACATTCTTGTAGATGATACAGCATTGATTTAGAAGTGACGCATGGCAAAACATGCATCAATGCAAGATATATCAACTGAATTCTCGAATTCCGTCAGTAATTCATGAGCATTTATACGTTCTGGTGCACCGATCATGGCCTAATTGCAAGTACGAAAAATAGTCTTTATTTATTCATATTTGAAAGATAAAACAACGCATTACACTAAAATCTGAATAAACTTTTTAGGATATGCGATATGGAAAACGAAATAGCATCTAGAAAAACGTTTCATCTGTGTTCTCACAGGAACAAATAAAAGAAAGTTCTATCAAGGTTCATAGTACCTTAATGAGAAAAAGACTACAGCATCAAAAGATGTAAAAGAGTAGCAATGGAGATACAAAATTCCTGAACATACAGTATACCCAAAGTTGCACTGACAAAATTATTGACATTTAATTACACAAAACAGTACGACTGTACCAGATATTCAACCCTATGTGCAACATGTAGTTAGATAAATTATTGGAGTAAGCATTGTGAATTTTGATGTACTGTCCAAGCGCTTACGATAAATACATAAGTTTTCGAATACTCATAACTGAACATTATCAAGAAACCATCATGAAATTAAATGGACACAAAATGGAAAATTACCAAACATCTGACTAATTTTTCTCAATAAGTGATACCATAATAGAGGGTTTAGTTTCAATACCGTAAGGGAAATTCCAAAGAAGAAAACTACCCAGTGCAAAAGACTAACACCCTAAATTATATTTGCAAACTCAGAATATCCTAATCTGAAAAACAATCTACGTTGATAAAATTTCATCCTGCGGTAATTTGATTCAAAAATGCTTAAGTAGACATTTGCAAACTAGAATTGATCTACAAGTGAAATGTTTCAAGACCAGCTTAATACGTGGTTACGATTAAGCACGAACTTTTTGATGGACAGCCTATATATTGAGTGAGATAAACAACACACAATAGGTCACTACTTACAAAATTAACAATAAACCCCATGATCAGCATACAACCAGGCAAACCAATTGCACAAGTGAAATTAATGGCCGTTTGCAAGTTCAATGTAAGTGAAGAAGTGGATAGAATCTTTCATCTCCAATATGAGTATATTGCTTGACAAAAAGCAGATAATTCTGAGCTAAAAGCTGGCTATTATTAAGACTGACTCGCTGTAACCTACTCAATAGAGATAAGGATCTCAGAAACCACGCTAGCAGATGTTAATTTCAATAACAAATCCAGTCGTTTCACTTCTTACGTGAATCGTACATTACCATAAAAATAATACCTAATTCTATTAATGTGTGGTTTATCTCCGCATATAAACGATGGTCATTATTTCCTTTCCCATAATAAAGTATGTTCTACAACTCTTCACTTTAAATTAATATTGTGTACAAGGTAAACTATGACTAGACAATATACGAACAGCAATTAAAACATGACCCAAGTAGTGTCTCCCAAACAACCACATACTAACCTTACGCTTTGCAATGTCATCACGCTTTCGAGCTTCGACAAGAAGGCGCTTCTCCTCCTCAATACGGCGCAATTCCTGTTCTTTCCTCCTTTCAGCTTCTAAAGCAAGTTCTTCTTCCTGACGTCGTCTGTCAGCCTCCTCGCGTTCACGAATAGCCTTCTCTTCAGCCGCGCGAGAACTCCATTGAGATTGTCTGCGAGCTTCGCGCATTATTTGAAGAGCCGCGGCCTGTTTTTCTTTTTCCTCGTTTCTACCGGGCTGAGAGTTAGGTAGCAAAATGTCGTTTGCTTCAACAGGATCGGGTAATACATTAACCAATCTAGCAGCCACAACTGTTGAAGAAACCTCAGAAGCTGATGTAGCTGTGCAGCTACTTGTAAGAAGGGGTTTGCCTAACGTACCATCTTCAGAAGATGGCTTTTTGGAAAACCCTGAGATGGCCCACACGGGTTGAGGTAGCTGGTGAGGGGAGTTTGGTTCAGATTCCGTATCTGAAGATTCATTTTGTTCAGTCTTTGGTTCAATACATTTTTCATAAACGACATCATCATTACAATGACCACTTGCAACAGAGTCAAGTGCAGAAAATGTCGGTGGTTGATTGATCGATGTCTTATTTGTCACAGCACCTGAGTTCGGGGATAAAAAAACAGTCGATTTCGAACAACTCTGTAGGCCAGTTGAAGATACCTGGTCATGCGACTGTTTGTGGTCTGAAGCTGCTTCTGAAATTATAGCAAGAACACCAGGAAGGCAGGCCTTAAGATATAATTAAATCAACCTAAACTACCACCCAATGTGCTAACATCAAGAAGACTCTCACTTTAGTAGCAGATAATTTATCAAATGAAAATTACATGCTAAGTACTGTACAAAAATGCATTCAATGATCTTTTTATACACAGGACCACAAACAATTAAAAGAGAATTAGGTACAAATTTCTCATGAAAACAACGCCATGTGTTGGAGACATAGTGGTGTATAAGAAGAAACCAAGAATTGATGTACAAAGAATAGGAAAGCCACTGAGGCGAAAAAATCAAGTACTGAATTATTTGGTGCTTGATTGGAATCTTACGACTTCAGTTTGTAAAAAAGTGAAATTCTTGACTTGATGTTAGCACAGTGGCTGGCAGTAAAAAGGTGTGTGTAAGTTTAAAAAAAAGAATGATATACGTTGAGTAAATAAGGATTTAAAGAAATTACAAAATGAAACCATACTGTGGTAAAGTTGTTTAGAAAAAGAAAGAATACTGGATGACAATAAAGAATGCAGCATTCAATTACTGGGAATAAGTTGCAAATGTAGCAATTCATCAGGACTCACTATAAGATTTAGAATCTGAAGAATCAGATTCACTTGAGTCTGAAGTACTCTCGGAATCACTTGAACTGGATGATGATGCGCTCAAACGATTAGTACCATCTGAAAAACAATGAAGTGATATGCATTATCTAAGAAAATCTTGTTATTGAAAAATACCTAACCAACAAACTTTTACTAGCACCGAAACGATTAGAACACACTAAAGTATAAAACAAACGATTAAAATACCTAGTTGATGTATAGAAAAATAGAAGAGATGAGCAATTTGCTACGTTATATCAAAATAGCCGAGTACAAATTAGTGAAGTCGACATACAAGGACTTTGAAAAAAAAACTAAACAACTGTCTCATTTACAGCATAGGAAGCTAAAGTAGATATGAAGATTGGTCGAAAATTAACTTATTTAACCTCCAAGTCATTACCGGATTTTTCTGTAACAAAAGCATGGTTATCATTCCTAAACAACATTGTAATAAGTCACTAAAAAGATCACTTCAAGCATAAGCAAAGATAGCTATTTGTCAATATATATTCATTCATACATCATACCGAGGGTCTTTGGAAGATATTATGCAAATCTGTGCTTAATGGCTACGACGTTTGAGAAGATACTAAAGACTGAAAACAATACAAGGTCGGAAATACTAATTCATTCAAATGAATCTGACAGCAAAATAAAGAGCACAATATGTCCTCAGTGAAACTAACTGTTTGAACGTAAAAATACTGATTTCTAAAACAGTTAAGCTATTTAACCAACGTGTCTATGGTAAACTAGTAAACAGTGTATATGGCAGTATATAACGGTTATCACGTAACATATAAAGTTAATTCTTTAAACCTTATAAGATGACAGTAGGAAAATTTGTGAGTACATTTGCGAACACCAAACTAATAGTTCCATTGGACACAAGGAATATAAAATCATCTAGATGTTACCGTACTGACGATTAGTGAATAATTACTCACGAGCATCAACAAGCTAAAACTGTAATAAGTTTCGGTTCAAGATGACAGTAGTAACAGAGGAAGATTGGAAAACTAAGAGATTGATTTAAAAAGCTGAAAATGATAAGGATCAATGGTAATTGTGGTGATAGTGGACTTACGTGACTTTTTCGGATTATGTGCATTATGGTATCCAGGAGCACCTTGAGGAAGTCCTCCAATTTCTCTCAATCGATTTTCCAGCTCTTCCGTTTTTTCTTTCATGCATTCCTCACGAGTCTTGCCTGGTGGGACGCCACTTAACCCCTTCTTCACATATTTCCGGCTCCCGGATTTTGTCTTTTGCAGAACAGATTTTACATACTTCTCTAATTCACGCAAGGTTGTGTGTTGCAGCGTTTCGAAATCAATTTCGATTTCGTCTGGATTACAATCACGGTGCGACGGTTCACGTTGCTGGATGATTTGGACAACTCTACCTAATTTTTCACCAGGAAGCTTATTAATATCTAAACTTAATTGACGTTTCTCATCGTAAGTCATTGGACGAACATTGTTTTCGGACATCTCCTCATCTGTAGCATATCCAGGAACAGGTATAGGTTGGGAATGTGTAGAACTCATATTTACTGTGTTACTACTAACCGGAACACATGGTGTATTTAGAACGGGTGCTGCAGCAGATAGTCCTGTGTAAATAAAACGATGGAAGTTGAATACCCTATCTTGAAATGCATAACATACGAGTGAATGCAAGGACTTTAACGTACATAGCAACATAGAATATGTGGTAGTTGTGACAATAAGTTATTCTCTAGTTGACATTTAACTACTTTGCTAGACAATGATTACAGTTGTGATTGAGTATTTTTACATTCAATTGAATTATTAAACAGATGGGTTGAGATGAAGCCACAGGTTTGGTTTGACCCAAATTATTTTGGCAACTTAACTAGTACTTCACTGGACAACCGGAGCTTGTACAAATTTCTGCGTGGGTGAGACATACATCTGGCGATCAAGGAGCAGATATACGGTGCAGCAGATTGCTCTGTTTTAACGTACGTCGGAAAGTTACTGGCACAAGATCATAGATGACCTCAAAGGAATGTTTATATGTCGGGGCTACAGAATGAACAAAACCGAGATTAGAAGCAGAGTACTAAGCTATTCCGTTGATGAGGCTGCCAATCTTCATTAACTAAGTGGTAGTCAGAACATCCATCAAGTATGACAAACCAACCCCGACCTTTACCCCTGATGTTGGCTGGGGCAATATTAGATGGGAAGAAAACCAGGTGTGTCCAAACTAAAACAAGGGATCATTCCAAACTACCATGTCACAGTCCGTGTGATTACCGTGACTAATCGTTAAAAACTTTGGATGACATGATTCGGAATCCTTAGCGGTACCGAAAATGAATTTCCTTATACTTTTCCTTTGTACCCTGAGTTTCAAAATTAATTTTATTTCTTTTATTCCGCGAATTTATTCGTTTCTTGTTAAGTCATTATCTCTGCCAAACCCATTTTACTATAACAGATACTGCTAGTAATTCTACTATATTAATTTGATAATTTCATATTGCTGCGCTGGTGTGATGAAGCAACGTGGACCGATGTACAGTTATCCTAGTTTCTAACTGAAATTAACATCTACTAGATGAGGAAGAAACTGAACAGATGATTTGATGGGTTATGCTAAACACTCTTTGTAGCACTAAATACCTAAATCCAACACCAAAACTTAACATTCAGCTGTCAGTTGATTTTACAATCACTCAGTAATATTGGAAAAACTATGATCTTATTTTATCTTCCCTCAAGGTCCATTCAGAATACCAGACCATTATTGAGTGCCCAACCAGTAATCAAAGTGATTTTAGTGGGCAAACTCCAGATAAACATTTTGCAAGTGACGAGTTAACGATCCACTTTTCTAGATTGAAATCCAACTCTTTCAGCAACTGCACGGCATAAATTAGACTAGGTGTGAGCTAAACGATTGTTGTTAGCCTAAAGAAATGAAAATTGAATGTTCTCAACTTCTGATCGTTTTTGTTGGTTATATCTTCAGCAAACCATTGGAAGTTATCTTAAAATCATTTAACTAGAAGTAATCTGGACATGATTAAACAAATTTCACTGATGGTGGGTACGTTTTTTGTCCATTAATTTTCGATAGAACGTCAAGTGACGTGATATGGCGATTTATTTAGTAAGTATTCCAACATGGTATAGCAAGTACATCTTTGTGTTTAACAATTCAGTAGTCGAGACTGATATAATTGATATTATGACCGTCCAGATGGTTTTCCTTTGGGTCATAAAGGTGATTTATTAAATCCCCTAAACTTGTCTCATCAACTAAGGAATAAAGCGATATTTCTTACTATAATAACCCCCTTGATAATCGTAAACTTTTCTTGTTGTTTATTTGTTGGAAATGATAGGCCCTTAGAAATCACTTGGCAAACATCTCATCTTTGTAATTTTAATTTGTGTTGACACAAAAATCCGAATTAGAGGCACTATTATACTGCAAATGAATGAAGATAATTTATTCGAAATTAAAATCAGTTAAAAACCGATAAGTTAATAGTTAAATTCCTTCTAGATTTTAGTGCAAGGATACTGCATACACAAGCGATGACCGTTTTATTGAGTACTACAGATGATTCTTTTCAGTTATCTTTACTTCTTTATTACAGTGACACATTTCTTCAAGTAATATCAAAATGTGAACTATATGTAAGAACATTAATCAATGATTTCGATCCATGTAACAAAGTCGACTTCATAATTAAAAACAATCTAAAATATGTTATTGATGATGCTTAATTCGATGAGTTGTTGCACTTATGGTAAACAATATGTCATATTTAACTCCAAGACAACGGTCCATTTTTGAATAATTATGGCCAAACAGGAATTTCGAGGAAAATGTCTTAGCTATCGAATCGGAACAATTTCCTTCCCAAATTACTAATGCTTAGGTAGGTATGAATGGTTAAACGTAGGAGGCTAGGTAAAGATGGGAAATCAATTGAATCCTTGTCGACTGAGACAGTTAAGACAGATATTACGTATACCCATCGACCGACTACCTCGACGTGCGTTAGTGGCTAATGGAGTAGGTTGCAAACTAGGGTTGAACAAACCAAGACTTCGCATCAGTCCATAAAGATATTGACTGTTTTACTGAGCCATGTAGATAGGCGAAGAATAACTGGTTGGTGTCAGAGTGATTATCATAACCTGTGGTTAGAGACTTTGAATAAAACGGCTTAGAATTATTTGCGACGGTACAGGTGCATTCACACTTTGTCTCTTCCTAAACCCTAAGTTTCTAGATTATTTTGTAAAATTCTTTTTATTTCATTAATCCAAACTTTTTTCTCGAGTCATATCTTTTGAGTTAGGGCACACAATTACTTCTCTCCAATGTTCCATTCAAGCAATGGGGTTACACAGGGTTGCCCAATCGCACCATTCCTTGTCACCTTCGCTATTTATTTATTTATTTTATTTCAACACATAAATATTTGGTACAAAGGGGGCACCATATATATATATATATATATATATATCACCACACAATAATAATGAGAATGTGAAGATATAAAGAATGTAAGGTGCGTATAAGAAAAAAGAAGTACAACAATGAACAGTAATTAGTGTATGATAGTGAAATAATAATGAGTGGAGGGTCAGTTCGAATAGCAAAAGTACAGCCACAGAAAACTCTTTCACTTACGAAGGTTATGTCTCCTTTTTTGCGAATGCCCAGGTACGGTCGAGTGTGGAGAGTCAGCTCTTCCTCTCGAAATGCTCTCACATGGCCACGTGCATACAACCACTACCAGAGATGTTCTACTCAAGTTTACTAACATCCTAAAAGCCCTATCGACAACCACCTCTCTCCTCTGTCCCACTCGAGCAGTGGAGTTAGACAGGGTTGCCCAATCTCATTATTCCCCTTCAACTTTGCCATCTATGACATTCTGGAAACAGCTCTGATAGATGCAAGTAATGGCGGTGTGAATCCGTTGCTGGAGAAAGACTTCTCGACCTTGAGTATATGGATGCTATTGTCTTACTGTGTGATGATGCCCAAGCCATGCAATCCACACTTAATCAGTTGGCAATCAATGTCCGTAGGTACGGCATGTGCTTTGCACCTTCGAAGTGCCAAGTACTTTTACAAGACTGGCAGGACCCTGATCCTGTATTCACCCTGGGTAATGAGCACATAGAAGTATTCGAGAGGTTTGTATATCCGGGTAGCTGCATAAGTGCCAGTAATGACGTGTGTAATCGGATCAATTCACATATAGTGAAAGCCGAGGAGGCTTATTTCAATCTGAGTCATCTTTGGCGCCTTCGTGATGTTAGTCTGGCTGTAAAAGGTCGGATCTACAACGCGTCGGTGAGAGCAGTTTCGCTCTATGCTTGTGAAACCTGGCCTCTCCGAGTTAAGGATGTTAGACAACTGTGTCTGATCATCGTTGTTCCCGAAGGATTGCTGACATCCAGTGGCAAAACCATGTTAGTAATGCAGAGGTTCGGCATCGTGTGTTCGGGCACAGAGACGATAATGTAATTGGTGTCACCATCTTGAAACACCGACTTCGGTGGCTTGGACATGTTCTCCGAATATCGTCCCAGAGAATTCCACGTCGTGTATTATTTACCGACTCTGGGACTGGTTGGAAGAAGCGGAGAGGTGGTCGGTGTATGACATGGTGTCGTGGTATGAAAGAAAGCTGCAAAGGGCTGGCTTCTGTTGGTCATTCACGACTCTATGTTTGGGATCCTAGAGATGGTGCAACACAGTGGCTAGAGAGGTTATCAGATATAGCTCAGAATAGAAGCCAGTGGCGATCCTGCTGTAACTTTCATTTACTTTCTTCATAAAAATGGACGTAATTTATTTAACTAGAAGAATCCTTTCTGGTTGTACCTTTGCTTTCCGAACTGGTTCTCCCATTATTATTATTTCACTATCATACATTGATTTGTGTTCGTTATTGTTCGCCTTCTTCTTGTACGCACCTTACATTTTCTATCTCTTCACATTCCCATTGTTATTGTGTGGCACATATATATGTGGTGCCCCCTTGTACTAATGTTTATGTGTTCAAATAGATAAATAATTTGAGCCTAATCTTTTTTATTAATACTGATACTGTTAATACCTCCACTTGTGTGGTATTTGGTTTAACAATAGCTGTGCTAATTGAATGTAGTAGCTTGAATGGATGCACACATGTGCCAAGTTCGACTTTGCACACGACTGACTGAGTAGAAACTGAATGACAATGCTATTTAACTCACTCCCAGTCCGAAGAAATTTAGGTCAATTCGGAACTGCAACTTTCCGATTGATACTGTCAAAAAACTCCCCTAAACTTACTGTAAAAAACGATTTACTATAATATTCTGTCTCAGAACAAAACATGATATAAAAACCAGACTGGTCGCAATGAATAATTGTATGTAATGACGAGAAAATGAGGCAGTTTATAGTTAGTTTAACAGTTAGGACCACTAACAGCTTTATAGAACAATATGTAGAATGTAAATGTGAGCCACATAGTAATGTCATTAGCTCAGTCACCTGGTATTTGGGTATGAGCCATACTCTAAGCCTGAGGAATAATTATACAACCCGGTTGCCCAAACTGAAGTAAATGGAAAGGGATTTGAACATGGGACATAGTAGCCAAAAGTCAGACGTCTTAACTATTAAGGAGTCGCTCTAAAATTACTCTATTACCTAAGCTGATAGTAAAGCAAGATTCGAAAATAAGGAGACCACGATCACTTAAAGGCAAAAGATACAACAAAGTTATGAAACTAAAAGGCTAACAAGTTTACCATAAAAAACAAAGATGTAACTGACCTGATTGTCTGTATTTTGTTTTCGACTGAGATTGTCTGCCTCTCCTGAAAATAAAATAAATGTTAGTCGAAAATAAAGACCTACTTAGTGATATTTACATCTTCTATATCATTCATAGTAGGACGTGGAACAGTCGGAAGGCCAGTTTGAGTAGGGGGTAATGAATTAATATGGGGTGTGTTGTGACCAATAGGTGCTGGGAAAATAAATAGTAAAAAATAGACCTACCTTTTCTGACAGCCATACTTAAGGATGATAAGATAGAATTTAGGTTAGCTGTGCTTTTCTGCAAATCCTCGCTGAAACGCTGAAACTGATTGGTTAACTTCTGATGCTCTTTGATGGCGTTTTGAATTAGCTGATACATATTCTGATCAACAGGACGACCATCAGGGGAGGCAGCAGGATCTGACTCATCATCCGGAACTTTGGCGAAATTTTCATCAAAAATAGCTTGAAGTTGTTTCCCCACTCTAGCAACTTCGCTATCTTCACCATTATACTTATAACAATTATTAAACATCAGTCGAACATCGTCTGCGAAATCGTATTTGGTATGGTACTGACCACTTTCTAATTTTGTTTTTATGGTGCTGAGATCCATTGCTTTTTTGACAACATCGTAGTAATCATGAAGCCCGAGGGCTACGACATCCACTGGTTTTAAGAAAAAATGATTGAGATCCTATAAATAATAGCTCAAAATGCTACAAACGCATACCCGATATCTCTGAGAGGAAATATCCTTCAGAATATTACTGCAAGCTTTCAGTGCTTCGGAAAGTCGCAATCGTTTGCCAACATTACGTTCTTCATATTCACGCTTGGGCTTTTTGATTTGACGGCGGTCGCGAGATAGATCATCATATGATTGGGGAGTCGACGGTAATTCGTCTATCGTAGAATCACTTTTCTTTTTACTAGCCTTTTTGGTAGATGTAGAAGTTACTGATGGCCTGAAAGGTAATGTAGCCTGGTCGACAGAAACAGCTGAGCCATTTAACCCTTCAGTATGGTTGGTTGAAGCAGCTGTATGAATTGTTTCGACAGGATGGACCTGCAAAGGAGCGCCAATAGGACGGATAGACTTTGGGGTTTTTTGTGGACAAATTTCGGTCTCAGGAGTCGGCATAAATTTAAGGCGTTCTCTAGCAATCTGCTCAAGCTTCATTGCCATTGCAACTACATCATCACCTGGCTTGTTGAATATATAACAATTTCGGAACATAGTGAAAAGATCATCGAGACATTCTGAAGAGGAGTGATAAAATTTTAAATTTAGCCGCTGTTTTATCGTCCCAAGGTCCATTGGGTGTTTTATTATTTTGGGATAGTCCTAGGAATTATGCATATCAGAGGAACAGACTTACTGGAAGGTTTAGCCGCTGGTGATCGACTGGTTTTGTAAACGGCCATACAATCTTTTCTTTAAATAGTCGCCCAACCACTTCTTTTTTAATATACTCCAGCTGGTTGGTAGTAATTTTTGAAGAATGAGACTTAGCAGCATGAGGTTCTGATTTAATGGAATTAGAAGAATCGAGATTCGCTTCAGAGCTCATTGCATTGGCGAGAATCTAAAAAAATTCAGATATGATATGTACAACTCTGAAGGAAAAATGAAATATTCTTAAGTATTGTTCCGTACTTCGCCATAGCAACCAAAAACTAATCATCTAACCCCCTAAGCTTCATGTTAATAATGACCAATTTACAAATACTGTTGATGTGTATTTTAAAAAAATAGGTCGATTGTGATCACGAAGGCATGTAGACCATTAAGGCTTTATGGTAACTTAGTGTTACGATTTTTCGAACAATAAACCTTACTAATCAACGCATTTTTCTACAGGCGTATCCAAACACCAACCCGTATTTTATATGTGACATATATTACTTCATAAGCTGCATTTCTATTACAACTGCCATTATCAAATTACTGAAGTACTTCATGTAAAGAACGTAGACATTGTCTTGAAAGTTCGAAATCACTTACACGGCTTTCGCACACTTAATGTGGTCGTTCGTAATCAATGGAAACTACACATAAATGTTTAAAATAATCCGTCGTTTACTAGCTTGAGCTCGTGAAAAGAAAACCCGAGAAAACCAAACTGATTCACTTCTCTGTAGGACCTAGAACATAAGCATACTTTTTGATGTCCTTGACAGTGTTCATCTCTGCTGATCGTGAGGTTCTGTAGTAGTGTCTGACACTGAAAGGCGTACCAAAGTAAATTAACCTTGCACAGGCTCTCTGCTCGAACGCTAGTGATTGAGTAAGAGCTTATGGTGAACTTTTTATAGAAATTAGTTCGAGTGTTGTTCGTCAAGAATGTCCGCTCTCCCTGTTTTTACGTCAGGGACATGCTTTTACAGATAAAACGTCCATCATTTGACTTCCTATGGGTTGATCTACTCCCAGGGGATCCACTTGTTGACTTAGACTGCACAGAAGACATACTTCTGTTTGGCGAATACGCTGATAAAAATCCAGTCTTCTGATCACCTTAAGCAGAGATTCAAGCATTTTTGGGATGTGATCTCCCTTCAAATGCAAAATGTTACCTTAGTTATGGCCTGCGTCATCACCTGAATTAATGGTAGGGAGTGAAGTAGTTGAACTTATAGACCGTTTTATTTATCTTGGAAGTCTCATCATTACTGACAGTCTGGTGTCTGACGAACTCTCAGCACAGGTTCAGAAGGCTAGATTGGCCAACTTGCGTCACTTTTGGCGTAGGTGAGATATCCATCTTCCAACCAAAGAACGAATTCACTGAACACCAGTTTGCTCCGTTCTACTTTACGGATTTGAAACGTGACCATTAAGAATAGAGGATACTCATAGGTTGTCAGTATTTGATCATAGGTGTCTTCGAAGTATTGCTCGTGTATTTTGGGACTACGGAGTAAGCAATGCCTGGGTTAAGAATGGGATGCTTGTTAAAGATGGGAAATCGATTGATGAATTAGTAAATTTTCATCAACTGAGGTGGTTGGACATGTTATGTATACTCAACCACTACCTAACTCGACAGGAGATGTTCTCTTGTGTAGGAGCAGGCTAGGATAAGGCTAGAGGCGGCATAACCAAACCATAAAGACATTGAGAATTGGACTGAGTCATGATAATAGGTGTAGACCACCTTTCTGGGGTCCTACTGATCATCGTAGCCGATAGTTAGAGACTTTGAATAGCATGGCTCAAAATCATTCGCGATGGCGCAGATGCATTCATTCTTTGACATGGCATTTAACCGGACTAGATTATACATGAACACGTGATTTTTATTCATGAAATTAATCAAGCAAAAACTTAACGCCAGCAGATACCTGTTTTCATTACCGCGATAAAAGACAAACTTTTCAGTGGAAGTAACTTTTGGACCGACTACCTTATAAATATCATGATCAAACTATCTGAAATGACAACCGATCTTTAATTTGATTACTGGTGTTGCCTGGTAATCAAACACAGGTTTAATCAATCAGTCTTGAACCATACTTTTTGTGTAGTCCAGTGATGTAACATAAATGCTGAAATAGAAGCAGGCGGAGTAGGGATGACAAATGCGATCATACAACTACATTAGAAGTATTTAAACAACTGCTCACTATTGGAACAAGATCAAAACTCAGTACTTTGTAATTACCATAAAAGACATCCATTTTGGTCATAGTGGTATTGTTAAGGACTTAGATTCTGGATGGTTAGTAAACCATACTTACTTAGTAAACCATAAGTCGGATAAAGAAATAACTGCAATGGTTTCAAAAATATGCCCGTTTGAGACTTCAGGTGGAGTTTTAAAGAAACAGGGACTGCAGTCAGTGGAAGCAAAATCATAATTCACTGAACTTACTATTAGATCTAAGAAGTATAGAGGAGAACGTGAACTAAGAAGTAGTGGTTTAGATGTAAAAAAAAATTTAGATACCGAAATTAGCGTCAACTTCACACAAGCGAATTTCTGCACAGATATCGACCTAAAGAGACTTGAATCAATGATGATTGAAGTAAATAAGATTATCAATCTGACAAGTATCCAGCAGGTTACATATCATAAAGCTGATTTTCGTATCGATACTGAAAAAGACCAAAACTGTAAGTCCAATAAAGAAAATAAGCTTTGGTTTTTAAGTAATGGAACATAGCCATGTTCATTTTATAATAACCCCAATTATAATTATCTTAGAAGATAACCCTATGCAGATTAATGGGTGGTTGCTCACTGTATTTAAGTTTAGCAATCAAATCACGACCCTGAAGACCACAATAAGTGATAATTTCGAACCAGCAGTCGAAAACGCGAATCGCTTAAACCACTGGGGGTACAGCACAATGGTTTCCTTATCTGGGTTGCGTTAGAACGTATAGTGACCACCGGTTAATAGAGCTGAAAACAAAAAAACTTATGCACTATTAACACGCTTCCCAAGGGTGATGCCCTGGTACGGCCGAGAGTGGGGAGAGTCCGCTCTCCCTCTCGAAATACTCTCACACGGCCACGCGTATATAGCCTCTGCCAGGGAAGTCCTACTCATTGCCTTCTCGTGGCGGGGGTGTTGTTTACGAAAATGAGAGGACGAGAAGCGAATGTCCGGCGCTTTAACCGGATTCCAAACCAATGGTGCACATGGGCTCCAGTATCCTGCGGGAACGAATGGCGTATGAACCAATCTTTGGTCACCGGCTACCATGGGACTGCATCTCCTTACGATGCTCCACTGCCTTGTGGGTTAGACCTTTAGGTCAAAGGCTCGGGGAGTGGCCCCCTAAGATAACCACCTGCTTCGGTTTGGGCACCCGGGCAGTATCACAGCCCACACACAAATGATGAACTGTTTATGTCTATGGAAACTACTTTTGTCGCTTTGAAAAACAATCAATTGATTCAAATTATGATCACTTCAATTATTGTCATTATTAATAATAATATTATTATCACTACTGTTATTGTCATTATTGTTATTTTTATCATTATTATTATTATTTTCCACATTATTCACCTTCTTTTATACTTATACAGCGGCTCGTCTTTGGTGGAATTCCGACTGTATCTAAACGTTCTCGAGTCACTGTCCGGTTGAAAATTGTATGTTACCACCGAATACGAGGACTGAAGCAGATTTTCTGAAACCACGTGCATCATTCAAACTGGCTGCCTTCAACGTTCGCACATTTATGCAGGTCGGACAACAGATAGGGCTGGCTATGTCTTTAGAAAGTCTTAATATCGATGTTTGTTGTCTATCCGAGACCCGTATTCAAGACTCTGGCGAAGTACTACAAATTCGATCTCCATCTGTCGCTTCGAAAAGCTTGTTTTACGTGCGCTTATCCGGGGACCCTGTGGCATCTTCGTCTGGTTTTGCTGGCGTTGGTGTCGCACTAAGCGCTAGAGCTGAGGCAGCACTAGTCGATTGGATCCCCATTAACAGTCGGTTATGTGCTGTTAGATTAGAAAGTTCCATCAAAGCGAGAAGAAATCGGCGTGAGAAACGATGTCTTTTCGTCATCTCCGCCTATGCCCCGACAGATTGCAGCCCGGATGCAATCAAGGATGAGTTTTACCACCAGTTATCAGTTCTTCTCCAGAAAGTGCGTTCGACAGATATTGTAGTACTAGCCGGAGACTTGAATGCTCAGGTCGGGCGTCTAGGCACAGAAGAGAGTCGTTTAGGTGGCCGATGGGGACTCGTTGGTCGCAGGTCAGATAACGGGGACCGTCTACTGCAACTGTGCACAGACCACAACCTGTTTCTGGCTAGCACTAACTTTCGGCACAGTCATCGCCGATGTGCCACCTGGCGTCCTCCCTCTGCATCTCAAGCCTGGACTCAGATTGATCACATCGCGATCAGCTACCGCTGGCGTGGTTGTGTACAAGACTGCCGCTCCTTTTGGAGTACCTATCTGGACTCTGACCATGCCTTGGTCTGCGCCAATCTTGCCTTACTTTTCAGTGGACAACGAAGTGAACGCCATCAACGGATTGATGTTAGCAAGCTGGTTGCAACTTCTGTTGCAAGTAAGTATCGAACCGAGCTAGCCTCTAGGCTAGCTACCACTCCACCGGAAAGTATAGATGAGCATTGGTTGCAATTGCATGACGCCATGAAAATGGCGGGAACAGTCAGTTGTGGGTTTGCGAAACGTCCCGCTTTTAAGCACTGGGTTTCTGCAGGTTCCTTACAACTCATTGAAGCCCGTCGGTCTACTCCGGGTAACCGTGAGTTTGACCATAAACGAAGGTTTTTACGTAATGAAATCGGGCAAAGCTTGCGTAAGGACCGAGAAGCCTGGTGGTCGATGCGTGCTAATGAGCTGGAAGCAGCAGCTGCATCTGGTAACTACCGGAAGCTCTTCCAACTCATCCGAGCCACTGGCAGCAAGAAGTCTGGTGTGAGTGAAACAATCTGCGAGGATGATGGGATGCCAATCACTAACATCCATCGACGTCTTGGACGATGGGCAGAATTTTTCGAAGGGCAGTTCAACTGGCCTGCTGCTCCGGCAACATCGGTCAGACTGTCCTGCCCTCCATGGCCGGTGACGACTGATCCACCAAATGAGGAGGAAGTCCGCAAGGAACTCCAACTCTTGAAGCGTTACAAATCACCTGGCCCAGATGACTTACCTCTGGCTCTTTTTAAAGATGGTGGTGACTTTTTGACTAAGGAATTGACGACGTTGTTTACAAAGGTTTGGGATCTAGAGAGTGTACCAACGTCATGGAATGAGTCGATAGTTGTCCCTATCTTTAAAAAGGGTTCACGTCGTTCTTGTAACAACTATCGGGGGATAAGTTTACTTCCGATTGCGTCCAAGCTATTGGCTTCCGTCATTCTTCGTAGGTTGTTCAAAACCCGAGAAAGATTGACTCGCGAGGAGCAGGCTGGGTTTCGTTCTGGTCGAGGATGTATTGATCATATCTTCACCCTCCGCCAAATGTTAGAACACCGCCATACTTTTCAAAGGCCAACAATCGTAGTGTTTCTTGACATCAGGGCTGCCTTCGATTCGTTGGATAGGACTGTTCTCTGGGATTGTCTATTGAAGAAGGGTGTGCCTGAGAAGTTTATTAACATCCTAAAAGCCCTGTATAAAAACACCTCAGGCAGAGTGAGGGCATACAACCACCTCTCTCCATTGTTCCATTCGAGCAGTGGGGTTAGGCAGGGTTGCCCAATCTCACCATTCCTCTTCAACTTTGCCATCGATGACATTCTGGAAACAGCTCTGATGAATGTAAGTAATGGTGGTGTGGATCTGTTGCCTGGAGAAAGACTTCTCGACCTTGAGTATGCGGACGATATTGTCTTACTGTGCGATAATGCCCAAGGCATGCAATCCGCACTTAATCAGTTGGCAATCAATGTCCGTAGGTATGGTATGTGCTTTGCACCTTCGAAGTGCAAAGTACTTCTACAAGACTGGCAGGATTCTAATCCTGTACTCACCCTGGACGGTGAGCAGATAGACGTAGTTGAGAAGTTCGTGTATCTGGGTAGCTGCATAAGTGCTAGTGGGGGTGTGAGTGATGAGATCAATGCACATATAGTGAAAGCCAGAGCGGCTTATGCCAATCTGGGCCATCTATGGCGCCTTCGTGATGTTAGTCTGGCTGTAAAAGGCCGGATCTACAACGCGTCGGTGAGAGCAGTTTTGCTCTATGCTTGTGAAACCTGGCCTCTCCGAGTTGAGGACGTTAGACGACTCTCTGTGTTCGATCATCGCTGTCTCCGAAGGATTGCTGACATTCAGTGGCAACACCATGTCAGTAATGCAGAGGTTCGGCATCGTGTGTTCGGGCACAGAGATGATAACTCAATTGGTGTCACCATCTTGAAACACCGACTTCGGTGGCTTGGACATGTTCTCCGAATGTCGTCCCACAGAATTCCACGTCGTGCATTATTTGCCGACTCTGGGACTGGTTGGAAGAAGCGGAGAGGTGGTCAGTGCATGACATGGTGTCGTGGCATGAAAGAAAGCTGCAAAGGACTGGCTTGTGTTGGTCCTTCACGACTCCCTGGTTGGGGTCCGAGAGATGGTGCAACACAGTGGCTAGAGACGTTATCAGATATGGCTCAGAATAGAAGCCAGTGGCGATCCTGCTGTAACCTTCTTTTGCTTTCTTCATAAAAAGTGGTTGTGTCTCATTTACGTGAAAGATTTCTTCTGATTGTACCTCTTCGTCATTACTCTCTTTTTCTTTTGCGTTCCTTAGTTTTTTTTTTTTTCTTTCTACTTCTCTTCGAATTCCCATTGTTTTGTGTGGCGCATATATATTGGCGCTCTCTTGTACCAATATTTATGTGTTCAAATAAATAAATAAATAAATAAATAAATAAATTTTTATAAGGTCGGTAAATTCTATTTAACGAATTGTTGTTAAGTGATTTAAAACCCTTTACCAGTTTTATATTTAAACAGCTATCACTAAAAGATCGACTTGTGAATTCAAAAACCAGATGCTTTGTCTAATTTATTTTGACCTTTGCAGAAAGATCGGAGATTAGCCCACTTAAACGAGAATCTAAAATTTGCGTTAACGGTATACACATATACAACTAGGTAGCCAAAAACAAGCAATTTGACATTGGGTCGCAGGTCTTATTTTAAAAAGTGATACCTGTCTGTCAAGAAGTGAGAGTTTGAACACGTGGCCCAATGATCTTGGAGAGCTTTAAACACTCATTTGTTTATCGTTTCAATACTGTGTAGTGATTAGGATAAATGTGTGCTTATTTTAAGTATGGGATATTAAATTAGTCCAAACAAGTTGGCCAACTTGATACTTGGCTATCACTAATAGGAAACCTTTGAAGGTTAAGAACATAAGTTTATAGAACGTGATTGTAAGCTGGTTAATGTGACTGTTAACTTTTATTAAATGGACTGGTTTGAAAAATATCTAAGGCATCTTTGTCACAACCTATTCCGAATGGCAAAACTGCCCACCGCGTATGACCGGACTGGAGAAAGTAACCAAAGGAAACATCATTATGGAGTCACTAAATATTGAACTGAATAGAGTATGGAGATAGAAGTCTTACATGAGGTCAGCCTAATAATTGTAATATACAGTGGGCTCTAGAAAGCATAATTTAAAACCATTCCCAATAGTGAAGATATATTGATTCACAATCGCTGAACCTTGAGTATGTCAACACTATGTGCTTTATAAACTATTTTTCACAATCAGTAACGCATCGCTCTCAATGAAACCACTAATTTAACCATTGACTTTTTTAATTTCTTTTTTGCTTAGTGACAACCTGGACTGACCCGCATCTTTGCCAGGTTCTGGACGTTTATCACTGATTTCGTTAACGACTAACCAAATGATTACTTTCACTGACAAGTGTGACTACTGTTGGACATCGTCGTTACCGAACAATGATAACTATGATGGTCTTTAAAATGCGTATTCTATTACGTGCACAGCCCTTCGTAACCGTTATTCACCTGTTACTTGTGTTACCTAATTTCCACCTACATTTCATCCAAATAGTAATCAAATAAGTACATTAAAATACGATACAACAAAGTATGTACTTTGATGTATCAATAATACTTGACTGATAAAAATTTAAAAGTACATGCAATTTCACCAGGAAGTGTAGAAAAACATTGGTTTTATTCTCAGTAATGAAAAGTAAGCTCACCTCAAATGTATTTGTAAGACATAAAAGATTATGTTTTATACGCGCCTTACTAAAACTACCAAACCGTATGTACGCATCAGAAATGGAAATAGGAACCCCGATGCCAATGAATCCAATTTAGGTCACTTATGCTATTAATAGCAAGCAGACTGATACCAGGGAATTCGAATTAGGTTGGGCCAACTGAATACCTCAAATACAATCTATACAACATATTTTATGTTTTTTTTAAATATAATACTTTTGTTCTTGTGAACTCCCGTTTAATTATCTAACTACACTGGACTAACTCTAGAACTTGGATAGCCAGGAGTAGCGACCTACGATAATTCACAGTTTATTGGATTTTACTTCTCCAAGATAGCGATAACAACTGTTTTGCGAGTACCCAGTGGGATAAGGTTTCAAAGCGTTAAAATGCTTAAATCAAACAAGCTTAAAGTGGTTTTATGGATAAAAGCATATTTCCCACTTCCTACTCATAGTTTCTGTAAGTAATATTGGTCATTGTTTAAAACGATGCTACTTTAATTACGACTAAATCCGCCATTAAAAACATGCTTAAGTTACATTCAACCCACAGAGTATGAGCAAAGTATCATCTATTCGAAGATTTCACATCACTTGCTATCAGTTTACGGTTCTTCTAACTAACCGAGAAGCCTCGCTAAATTACAGGTTTTCCGACGTTGCGACTCACTAACTCCCTGCTTCGGTTTGGGCACGCAAGCAGTATCACATCCCTCACACATATCAAATGAGATCTGTGTGGCGCATATGTATTTGAGGCCTCCTTTAGCCAATATTTGTGTTAAAATACATAAATAATAAATAAATCACTAACTAACTACATCCGTACCAAGTCGAAGAACGAATCTTGTAGAAGTTAAAAGTAATATTTAAACGAACAAACACGACATAAGAGCAAACATAATACTGATAAAAACGGTCGGAAAACAAGCCACTACCTGATTTAGAAAGATTCATTGTAATGCATGAAAACACGAAATTACCCGCAATAATACAGTTATTTACTGAGAGTAACCACAAAGCAACTCAATATCCGTATGAGACAAATCATATGCCACAAACTAACAGAAAAAACACATCCGCAGCTTCCAAAACATGTAGTACATGTTAGCGTACATAAATACTGAAACCAGGTTGATTCTCTATACTTTAAATCATTATATCGCATAACATTAGGTCGATGGTAAACGAGTCGAAATAGTACCACAGATAATGAACTAAATTAGTGTACTTCGAAAGTAACTCTGAATGCTTCGTGACATTTAATTGTGTGAGATGTAGACATGAGAAGAGATGGACTACACTTTACCACGCAAAGCGATTTTATCTAGGCATTAGAAGAGCGTGCCACTACATGATCACTCGACATAGGCAGTAATTAACATCGAGCCTGGCAGACATGTGTTCCATGTTCCTATAACATGTTAGCCCGGGATGAAATTTACAGGTCGAGTAAAGAAAGACAGGAATGAGCGTGTAATGTGTGGTCCAAGACAGGTGAAGAGACAACTATGAGGGAATGCGGAAATCTAAGAGGGCAAAAAATGCGTGAATCTGTACCGTTGAGTTTTTACTACATAAGTAGTGCCGCTGGTCTCAGTGGTTGGTGCGATTCAGGTACGGAATTTGACCATAATCAATCAACTGAATAAACCACACTATTTATATTCTGCAACCCGAAAACACCGTCCCAGACACTTGGTTCCCAATACGGAACCTCAGGAATCACTCACTGAGCTTTATACTTTGATTATCATCAGTCCATAACTAAATGCCAGAAAAAATTACATAACGAACAATCATAACTTTTAAGATGGTCAAAGACATCCAACTGTTAAAATGCACAGAGTACCAGCAATGTGTCCTCTGTAGCCCCACCAGAAATATTCAATAAGATACAAACTGATAAATACTTTTGTTGTGTTGTACAAGCAAACACAAAAATTGGAAGCTTAAGGTAGAGTACTTAACATGTGATCCGAACATCCTACAACGAGCATACCTTGAGTCAAAGACATACTCATTATAACTCTAGGCGTCTTCTAGGAACAGCATACAACACGACTTACAGCGAATTTCGCAATGATTCAAACCTGAAGACGGCGTCAGGGAACAGTTAAAAACCCCTCAGTCCGTTGACAGTTAAGTCTGGGGAAAAGTAGCAGACTATAACTGCTTTAACTGGTAGAAAATTTATAAACGAACAGAACACAAAGTCAAACAAGTGAATCTTCTACACTTACCTACCTAAAAACTAGAAACATAATCCACACAAAAGCCAACAATGGCGAAACGAAAGTAAACCGACCGGACTTAAATCAGGTGGCTAAAACAAAAGAAAAACACAAGATTTAAACTGCATCACTATCATTTGCAACCATTTACATCGACGTTTTACTATTTCACAAATTACTCTTGCTAGTTGGTTTTGAAGACTTACAGAAGCTTGGATGTAGAATGAATTTGATAGCGTGGTCATAGAAGCTTAGCGGTAACAAGAGGTTTTAAAGTTTAATTTTAGTACGAAAATGTGTCAAAACATACTCACTACATCTTGCACAGCTTTACATACATACGCACGAAAATTTACTTGCCTATCTCAAGCTTAATTTTTGAAAGTTCACAGGTCTTTTGGGAGCAGTTCAAAGAAATATTATACATGCGATTCCTCAGACACTGAGTTTTTAATAAAGAGAACAATTATGGGGGTCGTGATTTTATTTGCCTCATCTTATCGTAAATCAGGCGGTGACTAAATTATGTTTGCTCCCATCTTCTTGGGAATGCTATTATTGGTTTTATGGTACTGAAGACTCATTAGTTAACGATTTCTTTTACTGTTAAGTATGCCAATTTGTGCTGTAGCAAACTTTGGCTACAAAAAGTACAGTTTGAAGTATTTGTGTGCTTTTGGCACAGTTTATTTTCTTCGGTAAATTAAAACCGATCATTATTCTTTATCAGCAATTTCAAAAGACACTGTAGAGTCATATAGCAGTTCAGAGTTAAGTGAAACTCATAATCTTTGCGAGACAACGGTTTCTAATCAATCAAATTGTCAGAATTCTCATGTTATTGTACCAGATATGGCTTTTCCTAATGATTCACATATTTCTGACGAAATTCCTTGCAAATCTGGAGAAAATATGTTGAGTGAACCTAGTCATGATCGAAAACCTGATACAGTTTTGATAGATGATGATTTTTCTAATGATCCTTTACTCTGCAATGACATTCTCAATAAATTTGAGAAAACTATTTCAGAAGAGTCAAATCTTGATGTTCTGTCGAATATTACTTGTCCTCATAATGCATTTGTTTCTTGTGGGAAACTTGTTCAATGCGAAGCACGAGTACTAAATGAGATCGATTTTTATTACAATTCGGATGATTTCATATCAGCTGCTGTTTAACCTTATCACAAATTCACTTCTGATGTTTACTCTAGTCAATGTGTGAAAAATGTTTCAAATGAAGTCACAGCATTCATAAATTGGGGATATGAAGATCCAACATTATTTCGTGGGAGAGGATAGTCTGAATGTCCGTGGTTCAAATTCTAAGTAGTAGTAATTTCAGTACAAAACCGACATGCTGATTACACAATCCCAGGAACCAGATAATCTGGTCTTTATCCAATGCAATGTCGGACAGATACTGGATGAATTCATGAATTAGACGGACAATCAGTTATAGACACCTGGACTCCAATTTAAGCTGTGGCTTATGTTGTGTTTGAATGAACTGATGATTCCATTGTACTTCTTGAATGCTTGATTTCGAATTCAAAATACAGTACATCCGTTTGTAGATATCTAGTACTTCTTGAACCAATTGCGTTAACTCTTGAATTCACAGTTCATACTATAATTCATTTACTCCTGATTATCACGTTTAGTTTTACTTTACATATTGACATTTGGAGACTACCTTATTGGGCGGCCGTGCTCTTGATTGAGTCCGTTTGATATGATCGATCAAATCAATTCCCAAAGAGTAAAAATTTTGTCAGAAAGATTTGCTATTTAGAACAGTAAACAGTCCTTAATTAATATATTCGATCAGCTGCACTCTTCATCTTCAGAGAAAACATCGGATGGCTAGGATCGCTTTTCTAACTTGATGATTGGTCTTACTTGTGTTGTTGTAATTAGTGGCTATAACTATCAAGAATATATTGCTACACGAGAAGTGCTGTTACCTATCGTTCTATGGAGTCCGTGAACCGTAGTTCATTATTCAATCATTGACAGGTATAGCTATATTAGAATTATTGGAATTTCGGATTTACAGGCCGGATTCAGAAACAATACTAATAAGCCTGCTCTTCATTACGAGCTTCAAATAGGAATAGTTAGTGAAGATATTAAGCTGTTTTAATACGTGAAAATCAACAGCATCAGATAGATTACATTTTATAATCTGGAGACAGGTTGCACTGTACATTACTGTCTCGCTTACCACGATACTCAAGACGTTACTCATTCAGATTATGTAGTGGACAGTAAGGATACGATCGTCACTCCGATTCACAAGATAAGATCAGGACGATTTTTGGACCACAGATTTGCAGGCCCCATTTGTGTAATAGTTAAAATGCTGAAAATGCTATACGCTAATTCCATTGAAGTATTTGATACGTTTTTGCACAGTAGGCTGTTAATGAAACCGGAAATCCTAGTTATCTCCGAGCCTGTGCTATAGTGGGTCAAGGATTTTCTGGTGGGTGGTCTACAGAGAATATGGGTAAATCCCAAATGTTCTTCATGGAAATCAGTACTCAGAGATTAAGTTCCGAGTCCTCTACTTGATAGACACTATGTGAAGAACTGTTGCCTATCATTTAGTCCAAAAAGCTACACTCCAGGTCAAACTAGACGTTCCGTTAAATCTATGCAAACTGATATTGATCACCATCAATTCACCCAAATGTATTTATATGCATGTTGAACACACTAATGTAAGCGATTGCAAGATAAGGGAAGCACCACTGCCTCTGATCCTTCCTTACAATAATATCAGTGTAATTGCATATCTGGATCTCAGAACCACGGCTCATTACTGTGAGGCCCTTACTGTGGGGTTTAAAACATTCAAAGAGGAAAAAGATATTCGAAATTTGACAATGCCTCTGTACGGAACACGTTTATTTTTGCAGTGTACTGATAAGTGTTGCTAACTGAACACTATATTCGGTTCGTGAGCTCTTCTAGTAACCCTCAAGCTGGAACTACACATCTACTTAAACATGAGAGAAAAAGCGCAAAATATGCAAGAAACGCTTTACTCCGAAGGTTAATTTGTGTACAGAATATATAGGGTTTTTATGGTATGTCCCTGAGTTTCACGAAAATTCCAGAGTGCTACTAAACATTGAAGCAGTGCGGTAATCATCCAATCAGAAACTGGAAATGTGACTTTCCAATTTCTAGATGTTTCTGGCAAAACTTCTAGTGAACGCTGATTGGATAAGATGCTTCTCAGTGTTTTCACAGCCTTTCTTGGCTTTTTTCGAGAGGTTTTCTGGATCTCCCCAACCCAGTCAAATCGAAAGTCAGAAATAAAGGGGTTCGAAGGCAGTTAAAAAGCTATCGATATTTCGAGAAGCATTTGGTCTAAGCTGGTTGTTATTTGTAAGGGATGCGTAACACGACGTGCTCCTTTGTGATCCGGCGTAGATGCGTGGCCAAGCGCCTTCAGCTAGGTGTGTCCAGTAAAATAGCGAGATCAGCATAAATGTCGAAGACTTACAGAACTATCTATTTTGGGAGATTATCTAGCTCTACAAATTTATAAAAGTGGATGTAACTATGTTCATAACAGTATGCACAGCTCAAGTGATGTCTAGACTTAGACATTATGTTCAGATTTCAAGCTATTGTTAGCTATAATGTTTCGAGTTATTTGAATTGTATTATGAACTAGGAATCCCAGAATTAACGCAATTGAATTAAGAATTAAGACACAAACACAAACGCAAGTACTGTATTTGGAATTCGAAATCAAGCATTCAACAAGTACAAATGTATCATTAGTTTATTCAAACACCACATTAGCTTTTAGCCAAAGGACTGAAGACAGCCAAGTATGAATTTTCAGGATTCGTAAACTTTTTATACATACTCCTGTTGGAGCAGTTAGATTTTTATACTATTTCCGCAGGTTGAGGTGACCTAGTATTAGTGTATGGAATATAAAGAAATGTTTTTTGACCTCTTTTTTTCTTCGTAATAGATTGGGACAACCCAGAGGACACAGAATAAAGTCTCAAATTTCAAGGTTGAACAAAGTGCCAGTGACACATAGGTTTTCCCAATGGGTTATCAACGCCTGAAACATGCTACATTCAAGAGAAACCTAGACACTCAGCGGAGCTTATTGGAAAATGACTAACCCGGACTTTCAGCCTTCTGTCTACAATACACAAATTTGATATATAAACTATTTACATCTACATCACGTTTGGTACAAGAAATTCCTTTAGTTTTGGCAAGAGATGATGCTGAAAAAGCTGTAGCTTTATCGGAATATTCGGGTACGGTTTTTCTTATCAGCAATGAGGAAGGATCAATGAATATTTTTGATAGTTACTGAACATATAGCCGTACTGTCTTATATGTTTCTGCGGCAGCTCAGATTGTCGAGAGAGTGGGAAACACAATAATTAGTCCTGTGTATAAGGTGAGATGCAGAGACTTAGTGACTATCGATCCGTTGGTCAAACCATTAAAGTTGTAAAACTAGTGGAAAAGATCATTCAGACGGCTGTCATAAACTATATGAAAGGGCATAATCTTTTATTCAGGGAACAATATGGTCTTTAAGAAAAATCCTAACGTGCTTGACAAATTTGCTCATCTCAAGAGAAGATTGGGCTGCAGCAAAAGATCGAAAAATTACTGTAGATGTGATTTTCACAGATCTAAGTAAGACCTTTGATAAGGTCTTTTTTCGGGTCATAAATTAAAACCGGAAAGTTTTGGAATCCATTATAAGGTCACAGAACAAGTGGTTTTCTCGATGACAAGAGACAGAGGGCAAGGCTAAATGGAGCTCTTTCAATAAGAGAACTTGTAAAAAGTGAAGTTCCCCAGGATGAAATCCTTAGTCCCCTTCTCTTTTTACTTAATGCAAATGAATTACCAACTGCAGCTAAACCACCCGTTCTATTAATTGACGATGACATAAAGATTTGGAGACTCATACACAGTATGTCAGATAGAATAGTATTACAGGATGATCTCAGTTCATTAGTGGCATGGATGGGCGGATGGTCACTAGAAGTAAATCCTAACGAGGTGTGGTGATGCAATTAAAAAGCTATGAT